GTGGCGTGGCATGGAGGCAATCAGCCTGTGGCACTGCTGAGGTGTTATGGAGGCCCAGGATGCTTCGATAGCGGCCTTAAGCTCATCCAGAGTGTTGGGTCTTGTGTCTCTCAACTTTCTCTTCACAATATCCCACAGGTTCTCTATGGGGTTCAGGTCAGGAGAGTTGGCAGGCCAATTGAGCACAGTAATACCATGGTCAGTAAACCATTTACCAGTGGTTTTGGCACTGGGAGCAGGTGCCAGGTCGTGCTGAAAAATGAAATCTTCATCTCCATAAAGCTTTTCAGCAGATGGAAGCATGAAGTGCTCCAAAATCTCCTGATAGCTAGCTGCATTGACCCTGCCCTTGATAAAACACAGTGGACCAACACCAGCAGATGACATGACACCCCAGTGACTGTGGAAACTTGACACTGGACCTCAAGCAATGTGAATTCTGTGTCTCCTCTCTTCCTCCAGACTCTGGGACCTTGATTTCCAAAGGAAATGCAAAATTTACTGTAATCAGAGAACATAACTTTGGACCACTCAGCAGCAGTCCCAGGCGAGATGCTTCTGACGCAGTCTCTTGTTCAAAAGTGGCTTGACCTGGGGAATGCGGCACCTGTAGCCCATTTCCTGCACACGCCTGTGCATGGTGGCTCTGGATGTTTCTACTCCAGACTCAGTCCACTGCTTCCGCAGGTCCCCCAAGGTCTGGAATCGGCCCTTCTCCACAATCCTCCTCAGGGTCCGGTCACCTCTTCTCATTGTGCAGCGTTTTCTGCCACACTTTTCCCTTCCCACAGACTTCCCACTGAGGTGCCTTGATACAGCACTCTGGGAACAGCCTATTCCTATACCTTTTTCCTTTTAGCCATCCTATTTGTTAAAAAAAAACAAAAAACTGTAGTATGAGTTTTTATAACTGCTTATTGTTGTTGCTGTTGTCCATTGTTGTCATCTTTCTTTGTTGAAATCAGGTCTCTCTTGTAAATGAGTCCTCGAGGCTCAATGGGATTTACCTGTAGAAATAAAGGTTTGTTGTATTCCTTCAGCAATTTCTTTCCGAGTCTTACCCTCTTGCTTGAGGGTGTCAATGATGGCCTTCTGGACAGCAGTCAGGTCGGCAGTCTTACCCATGGTTGTGGTTTTGAGTAATGAACAAGGCTGGGAGTTTTTAAAAGCCTCAGGAATCTTTTGCAGGTGTTTAGAGTTACGTCGTTGATTCAGATGGTTAGGTTAATAGCTTGTTTAGAGAACCTTTTCATGATATGCTCATTTTTTGGGACAGGCATTTTGGGTTTTCATGAGCTGTATGCCATAATCATCAGTATTAAAACAATTAAAGACCTGAAATATTTCAGTTGGTGTGCAATGAATCTGAAATATATGAAAGTTTCATTTTTATCATAACATTATGGAAAATAATGACCTTTATCACAATATGCTAATTTTTTGAGAAGGACCTGTATAATCACTAGATCATAGATATCATATAATCACTAGATCATAGATATATAATCACTAGATCCCTCATCGGCTGCTGCTGCGCAGGATTTTTGGCCGCCATCTTGAAACGGTCGTCCTTATTTGGTTAAAGCAGAAGATGTCTCAGCACTTCGCAGCTTATTTCTGTTCAGATCGACGGACTGTTGACGTCAGGTCTCGGGGGATAACTTTTCACAGTAACATGAACATATTATTGTTAGTATTTTGTGAATATAATATTACTGTACTGTATTTATGTCCACCAGCTGATGTGATGTTCAGTGTAACACGGTGTTCAGCTGCAATGAAGCTGACTGAGATCTGATGACTGGAATATTTTGCTAACAATCATACTCACTGTTTCAGCAGCTTTGGTTCATTATCAACAGATATTCATCAGAACTGGAGTTTTGTTTAAGTTGTTTTTGTATGTATGTTAGTTAAGTATGTTTTTGTGAAGACACAAATC